ATATGCAGAAAACAAATGATAAAAGCTTCAGAGAGTCTTTCCTCTTTAACTTCTTCTGGGTGAGAGTTTTCAAAGAATTGGGGAGACAAAGTAAGGCAACTGACACTATATTTGTACCTAGCGCTTTGGTAAGTGAAATTGAGGCTGTCAGTGTATTTTAGGTAACAGGAAGAAGAGGAGCAAAGGCAGGAAGTGCCCAGCGTCCTGGGGAGATGTTGAGTAAGGCACCACAGTGCAAGTGTGGATGTAAGAGGGCAGTGGAGGTCTAGACCGAGAATTCACAGCAATAAGTACCATGTCCAGCCTGCTCCCAAACACTTCACACACCCTACCACGAGGAAGGTGTGTTTCCCCATTTTTCAGAGGAACAACCTGAGACTCAGAAAGGTTCGTTATCCGGGCTCATGTTGGCCAGTAGCAGAGCCAGCACTCAGCCATCGCTCTTAGCCTCAAGCTCAGGCTGTCAGTGGTACAATGGGGGGCCATTGCTATCCTGTGTGGTTGTGAGGAGTGCAGGGATCTTTCTGGGGTGCTTCCTTTCACCCTCTGACTGGACGTCTAGCTCTCCCAATACTACTTTGTATGACACTGGACCTCTTTTATTTGATGACAGGAACCATTCATTCTTGTTTTTCTCAGGGTCACTAGCATCTTGTGTGCTTTAAGTAAATATTGGGTGGTCGGAAAAGTCATGACGTATTTTTCTACACTAAAATGTTCCATGACTTTTCTGACAACCTGATATTTTATAAACAAGCATCGCATGACTTTGCTGACATCTTTCCATTACCCCCCCCAGCCCCCGCCAACATTTGCACTAAGACCATTCCTTGTGTGCCTTAACTGCAAACAATTGCCAAGGCACATGACTGGCACTGCCTGGTAGTGTATGGTTTTCTCCGTGCCTTCCCGTTCCCTTCTTAGGGCTTACGTGCACATATTCTGCCAGATAAATGAGAAATACACCGTCTTAGCTGTGCTTGTAACAACAAGAATTGGAGATTATCAAGCAGTTCAGCCGATTCAGACGTGCAGCAGGAGTAGGAATCATTGCCTACATGGACGTTACTTAGGGTTAAATCTGTCTTTTGAAAATTTGGTAGAAATTTGGATACTCAGGATACTAAGTATGAACAATTTCTGGGAGAAAACTTTTCCTAGGTTTTACTTTTCCTTTTTTTTTTTAAGGAGGCAAACTTGAACACCTGAAATTATTTTGGTGAAGGGTAGTAAGCTAGATTGGCTAGGTATACAAATGCATCTTTCTGGTAGAATATAATTT